CTGGAAGTACATGCCTGTGGATAAACTGCATTCCCCAACTTCTGGTGGTCATTATGTGTCTTTATACTATCCCTAATGATGATGATGTAGGCTTAGGCGATGGCTGGCTGGACGATGAAGGCTTTTTTGATGGCTGGCGGGACGATAATGATGATGTAGGCTTTAGTGATGGCCGGCTGGATATTGATGATGATGATGATGAAGGCTTTTATGATGGCTGGCCGAGTTGGACATGTATTAGTCAAAGAACGCCCAGTAGCATAGCTAAGAATTTTGGTTGGGAAGGGGTAGCAATATGATAAGACTGTCCATACTTAAGATCTATAATTATAATTATTAATATTAAATAAGCATATACAAATTTAGTTGGTGCACTTTTTTTTATATTTATTTAACTTTATTAAAATTAAAAAAAAAAATCTGTGTTGGTAAACTTCATAAAATAATTTATTGTTTTCGTTTTATATTTTGAGTTTAAAATGTAAATAAAATGCACAAGCAATATTAATAGCTGTACTAGTGTTAATTAGTAGTGTATTTTTTTATTTTACCAAAGATAATTTAGGAAAACTTCCTTCTACAGAAGCTGCTGTCATTGGCAAGCATAAACATGTTATTGGAAACTCGAATAGATTAAAAACGGAATAATGTGAAATTTATATTGATTTTACAATATTTTTCTTGATATTTATTTTTCTTTTCAAAATCGTCACAGATTGATATCGATAGGGTTTTCAACCGTATTCAATGTACCTAGGTACTGGTTTAGTTTAATAATTGCAAAATATAATGTAGCGTATATAAGAGAGTTGCGATTCCATAAACTGTTATGCAGTTACGACTTCCCCTATCGCCGACCTATAATAGAACAATGCAGATTTTTCGCAACGTGTCTATGCGTATACCGTGTACGACCACATCTTCAATAGGTACCCTTTCACGTTGTGTACATCATAAGTTACATTTAAGACTACCACCGTGAGAAGAAAACGGCACGTTGCGTAAGTTTCCTCTACCTTCTCGGCCTACATCAAACGGCTGATATTTTTTATTTACTCCAATTTAATAGCAAGTGCCGCATCGTGCGCTGCTCGGTGTTATGTAAACCGTGTGCGGATATCGCATCGAGTGTACACTATTATTATATATATATATATATAGCAAATCGTTGTTGTTATTATTATTTTTTGCAAAAGAACGAAGGAAGACGCCCCCACCTCCCGTTTATGTATATAAAGTTGTCTCTCTCTCCCTGCCGCAGTGTACGTGTGTGTGTGTATTGGAATTGGCCCAGTTTTAATGGAAACCTGCTGCTAAACTTGGCGGCTAATAAATCACCTTATCCATATTGTGTTATCCATGAGAAACTTTTTAAGTGTGTACACATAGGCGGCGTTTACTCGGGCGCGTCGGTGCGCTACCGCCGCATCACCCGCCGTGTGATATATCGGCTTGTAAATACAAGCAGAATGTCCACACAAGATTTAAAAATATATTATACATATACAATATACATATACAGTGTATATTTATAACAACGATAGCCGTGCGACAAAGAGAATATTATTATTGTGTGGTTCCTCCTGTTCTAGATACACACACACCCGCGTGGCTTGTGTTATCCTGTTGGGGCGACGGCAACGGTCACTTTATTCTTCTTGATCATAATCGACCACACGAGTTACATAAACATTGCGCTCCAACATATCGAGTATCTTAGACCCATATAGTCGAATCAAATCAAACGTGTAGACCTTCTTAATATACCTTCTTGCCAATGGTCAGTTGGTAATTGTTGCGGGTTTCCACCGAGAACAGCACAAAAAAGACGGACACCAAAAAATTAACAAAAACTCGGAGAAAATTCCAGACAAATTGTTTAAACTTAATCTCGGAAGAACATTTGTTTTTTTAAGTATATATTTATTTTAACCTGATGCAAAATTTGTTTAAATTTATTGTTTCACCGTGGTCGAAACGGAATAATCTGAAATCGTTTCAAATATTTATCTATTCAAATACATTAAAAAATGTATACAATATTGACCTATTACAATTATAAGCGATTAAAAACTATGTACCTATATACTAAATAAAACTGTTTTTAATTATTTGGCTTGGATAAATATACTTAAAGTTATAATATAATATATATAAATTTATTAAAACTTGAACATGTTCTACATAGAAAAAACACTTAATAGTTGAATACTGATCAGATTTTGGGAGTACAGATTAGTAATATCAGATTATTGTATTACTTAGACTTTTAAGTTTTTCAAATACATGTAGACAAATATTGTTTAAATAATATTATGTAATTGTTGAGCCATCATATTATCTAATAAAACCTATAAAAATAAATTGTAGACAAATATTTTAATTACTAGCCAAATGGTTAGTACATTAGGTATTCTGTAAATACAGAATACCTATAGTTCAAAAAGCATTTGAAAATTACTATAAACTGTAAATACCAAAGTAGTATTTCAATAACATTACTCAAATTTATTTTTATAAGCTAGTTTTTTTTATTATTTACATTTGTACGGTCGATGTATACATTCCTAATGTCACGATGTGTGCGGTATCGGCCACATGGGTTTGCTGAATCCGTTATGTTCATGTAGAAGCGCAAAAGAATGGACGATAATTTTGTACTTGGCTTATCGCGAGATCGCATAGACATTTCATTATTGCCATAGTTCGCTTAGGCCGTTACTACTTAGTTAATTTATGCATAATACACCATAGGTGTATACGAGAAGACCTCATTGTGATTCGTGCATTCCTCGCGCTAGTACGCCAGCAGCAACTTATTGTAGTATAAAGTGCGTCACTTATTATTCACGTCGAGTTATCAGTATTTTATCATAACAGAGCGCTATAACTGTTTGGTTAGCAGATAACAGATTAATAAGTATAAGTATGTAGAACTTTCGTGGATAAAAAATATAGGCAAAGCAGGAGAACGCAGTTAAAAAACGTGGAGAAGTGGAAAAGAACTATTTTGGAAGCAAAGAACCACTATAGTCTGTAGCGCTAAAGGGGTTAGTAGTAGAAAATAGCTACTGGTTTGAGTGCTGAACAAAGCGGCAACGCCTGGCTTTAAACATGGACTTTGCGAAGGGTCTGAAACGGCATACATATGGACATAACACAGATTAAATAAAATATAATAATGTAATCAGAAACGTAGCTGCGAGCTGATGTGACTTTTAAAAGCTCACAAAATTATTGTGTAAAAAATAATAAGATGTGTAATTTATTATCTAGCGGTTCCGAGGACAAGTCAATAATATTTTTGTCGTTTTGGAGACTAACGCGGTATATTGTTTCCGTTTGGCCATGTATCCATACGTCAAGGTGTAATGCTTTAATTAGTTGTCCTTCTCGTTCATGACCCCTTGTGCGAACCGACGTCTTTTTTATATATATGTGTGTGTGTATAGTTAAGTATATACATATATATATATATATATGTATATACTATATTTATATATGTATATAAACGTATATATCACCCGCGAGACCGAACACGGTGCATTGTTGAAAAAAAATAACATGTACGAGCAATTGACGTTTAATGGCTATGCACGCCTATTAAATATCGAGATATAATGGGTTGTGCAATGCTATCGAGCATATACAAGATACCAATTATACCGCGTTTTTTTTTCAATCGTCCTCTTTATAACACTGCACGTTGTACCTACCCACGGTAAATCCTGGCAAATTTAAAAAATAATATTCTGCATACTCGAGCATACAACGGTTGACCACCGCTTAAACTTGGCAAATAATAATTGATTGTCCATTAAAATATTGCGCTTGTAGTTATTATGCGATTCCATCGAATTAAATTAACCGATTATCGCACTCGGCTCTCTATGTTTTTAATTTTTTTTTTTATATTATAACACATTAGCAACAGTCGATTACACAAATGGGAAAATATTATCTGTTAATTAATCGAACCAGTTATTTTTATACGATTTTCAGAATATGAAGGCCGGGGCTTTAATTTTTGTATTAAATTGGCAACATGTATTCAACACATTTGTACAACGAGGACTACTTGCCGCAGTATGCGCAATGGGAATTTTGAAATTAACAAACATATCGTGTATCGGTCGAGCGATGAAGATATTTGAAATTAAATAAACCGCTGATTTTCATTTACCAATTGGATAACGACGTGTCAGCCGTTGAGGGCAATACCTACTAATTATTTTTTGTTAAACTTTATTTATTCTGTTTTTGTTTTTTGTTAAGTACGGTTTTTGTTTTGGTCCGGAGTTCCGCGGTCCTGTTCACGACCGGAGCACGCGATCCTCGATGGAGATGGCTTCCGCGTTTTCGGACTCGATCACGACCGAGGCGCGTGTGGGCGAGCTTACACATAATAATATTATATACACACATATATAAATAAATGTATATATATATTGTGCGCTAGGGGTCATGAGAAAGTGTCCGCCGCCGCTTCAGTGTGTTTGTGGGACACACGCCCACACAACACGATCGAAGAGTCTAAATTACGGCCGTTAACATACTATATATTACCTTTATAGGCAGGTACCTAACCTAACCGTACTTAACTGTTGGTATTGTGTACATAAACGACATTTGTTGTGGTTTTTCGTTATTACAAAGGGCACTCGAGGGCGCTGCGCTCCAGTGAACAAAATCGCAAGTTATTCTTCCTACTAGGTTGGAAAGCATTGATTTAATACGTAAAATTTACTTATATGTTATATATTAAAAGATGATTATTGTATAATCTGTTGTACTAATCAAGTTGTTTGATGTCTGGAAAATGGATAAAACCGTTCGTTTCACAACCATGTAGCGGTTAGGTTTGAAAACATTTCCGTATTACACCAAAAAGTTAGAATATGAGAACTTGCGTAGTTGTCCACTAGGTCACGCTGTTTTTCATCGTTTGCACGTTATGCATATAGTTATAAAGTATAGGTATAATCTTGTGCGGGTCTTACCTTAGAAAAACCGTATCCGGGCGTCGGCAGGCAATGGTGGTGCAGGCACTCGTGACGTTTGAAAGCTGTAAAAAATAAACACGGTACTCAATTAGCAAATTTCATAACTAAAATATAAATAATACTGGTAAAAGCAGAGCGGGAATAATGAAATTACAGGCTCAGGAGTGACCCATTCTGATTTCTGGGAGCTCTAATTTTACAAAAAAAATTGTTCTTTTACGTACTTATACAAGGTGATTTTTTTATCATGAACCACTCAATATCTCATAGGGTTTACCTATATTACTCTTTATTGGTTTATCACACGACTCACACCCCGTTTGTCCAAACTTCATGAACCATAAAAGGATGCTTTTACCGTTACAATAATAATATGCAAACGTTATGTTTACTAATTCTCAAGTTAGAAGCAGTCTATATAAAAAAAACTATTTGCTAAAAACGCATAGACCTCGTTATTTGCTCGTTTACAAACATGAAAGTTATTATAATTTTTTTAGCTTACGTAACGGTTATAACCATTAAAAAAAATATATATATATATAAATATAAATATATGTATAAATGTTATTACTCGCATATACACCTGTACGGAGGTCGAGTACGAACAATTATTATATATTATTATAGACGAGTTGACTTGTATGAGTGCACTTGTACTGTACTTAATATTATTCGTTACATCACGGTGGAACAAACAAATACAAATAAAAATGTATGTACCCAATAACCGTGTAGAGTTATTAGAAATTTACTATTGACCGGGTTGACCGGATAGGATTTTCCCAGAAGACTACTTGGCGTTTGAACTTTCATGTCGGTCGTTGACACAAACCTAGTTAGTACGTGCACTGAAAGAGTTACTTTATAAAAATGGAAATCTTTTGCTTGAAAACAAATTTGAATGTTAAGCTTTATTGAAAAATTGCTTACATAATGGGTATTCATAAATATTAGTGTAGAGGCCCCTTAAATGGAAAAAGACTTGTAACTATTGTTATGATAATTGATTTATGAATCCGTCGCATTCTACATCCTACATATTATCCTATTATCCGAATTAATAGCCCTATTTAAACCATATTTTGTGTTTTAATAATATAAATTATGTAATGATGTAAACGACTTGATAGTAACTGTCGGTTGGACAAATCATAAAACTATTGTAACAGGTTAGGATCACATTCACTGCAAGTTATCTTTGTGTGTTCTTATAAATGTGAAAATAACACGGGAAACATATACCTAATATATTTTGATAAATTGTATAATATTACGGTCAATATAGGAACACGGTTAAACTTATAGTTGGAAAAACTAAAGTTCAACTAATTGTTAAGTTTAGCAATATCTATTGACTCGGGGGAAATCATGGGGATCACGACCGCGGCATTTGTCGGAATCCTCATTAGGTCGACACGACAAGACGACGACCGGTAGCTAGAATCACATGTTATCTGTGCCAGGTGCGTTGACTCACCTTAGTGAGTTTTCTTTTCACGTGCCTCCCCCCCTCCCCCGAGATACACCGACCAGATACCAGACGGCTTGAATCAAAGCGAAAGACATCAATTAACATGTGTCAACCACCACCAGTGTGTAATATATACCTATACCCCGGGCCGTGGTATTTTCGCCTGTGACTCTTCGGTTGTACATATTGTGTAAATATATTGTATATTATATGCACAGCAGCTTGGGAGATAGTTGCTCATGGGCGATGATATATTGTGTCGTCTGAGGACGTCGTGTACGGTAACACGGATCTGAGACGAGCATCGAGCATAAACGATCAATGTAAAAACAGCTAATTGGACGTAGTTGGTCGGTTCATGTGCCGTGCAAGGTTTTTGACTCCAACGACCGGGTTATTTGCCTAATCTCCTGCGCTGTCTTACTCCTGGGCTACCAAATAGACGGTCGAACAACGTATTGTATAAGGGTAGACTTTATTTTCTTTGGGCGGACCTTACAAATAGGTTCATTTGAGTGGTAGAGATAATGCGAATATAACAGTTTGGGACGGACCGCTATTATGGTGACTGCTTGCATCGCCTGTTTTTAAAGCGCTCAATTTATCTGCCAATTAATTCTACCATGAATGAATGTGATCCTTGGGAAGTCTTAATCACTATAATTTATTTTGATTATAAATACAAATTTAGACGACACCAATTACTGTCGATTTCAGATGATACCTGTGAAATGCAGGTATACTATGGTAAATTACTGAAAACATTCAAACGATGCGGTTCTGCAACTATATAGGACCTTCAAGTCACGTTGAAGACTTTTTTTTTCGCAATACGATATTAATACTACAGGGTCGCAACAACCTGACCCAAGGCAGAATCTTTTTATTAGCTCTCGGGCGGTCGTTAAACGAATACAACGCTATAAGTTGGTGTAAACTATTTGTTTTCATATAAATAATAGATTTAATGGCGGCGTTCCTAATTTCAACGACATTGCCTTTTACAGAAAAAATGATAATTAGTACTTTCGACTAGTGCCTGTGATTTTAAACGTGTAATTTAAATACACGTGTACACGAACCCCGTGTAATTAACATACACGTGTATTTAAAAAAATGTATTTTGTCATAAATTTTAGTTTGAGTTAACGTATTTACACAATTATACCAGTGTTTAAGTTCGTATAATTAAATAGACGTGATATTAAACGGTAAAACTAAAATTAATAACAAAAATAATTTTTTTTGAATACACCTGTATTTATAATTACACATGTATTTATAATTACACGTGTATGTTAATTACACGGGTTTCACGTGTAATCGAATACACGTGTAATAGGGACCTCTGCTTTCGACCATATAACGGTACGGGATTTTTCATATTATAGCGTTCGTTAAAGTCACTTTAGATTTATACAGTGCCACCATGCAAGTGTACGCGTGGTGACTGAGCTGTACATTTCAAATACTTACAAAATCGTTGCTCGTTACCTTAGCGCAGTATCTTAACTTGTAAATGAAAAATATTTAACTTGACTACAATCTGATACACCCGGCGATAACACCCAAACGTGGCCTGTGTTAAGTCGTTTCAGGTTGCCAGGAAGCGACTGTGTCAAACATTTAAATGTTGTCTTATAATTGCAAAGACCACCAAAACACAATGAACATTCGATACACCATATCAAGTAGTTATTATAATATGTAATTTCAGTGCCATTGTCTTTTAGATGTAGGACAAGGGTTTATCAACAAATTATAACGTATATGCTCTAATTGTACTCAAAATATATATAATTAGATAATGAAAAAGTGGTAGGTATTTCACCGCGCTGTAACATTTTGATTTCAAAACACATTACAATGTTTCACGTTGATCATCAACGGTTGATTACAATAGACAAATTATCTAAACTGTGTTCACATCTATAATTACACCAAAAGTAATTACATTAATCTGCAGTCTTGTTAAATGAAATTAATGTAAATTATCGTTATATATACCGGTGCGCCTCTAGCCTTGTTCTAGTTTCTCTTAATAGTTTCAATTGTCCAAACGCTAAAACCCTTTTGGCTACTTTTAAAACGTTGTGTTCGCTATTCACAATATGTACATGCACATAATTCTAGCTTACACACACCGCAGCAGCCGCGTACGCCTCCATCCATTAGGTCGCACTCTCTAAAAATGTTTAAATCCAAGTACTTTATAAACATCACATTGGGGGCGTACTTCAGACTCGTCTATATTACACAATAAATGAAATTAGATACGGAAGAAACCATTAAATTTCGCCGAAATTAATCGACCTAAGATGTAAGTCACGCGCAACCGCCGTAAACAGTTTAAGGTTATCCGACAATTTGTTGGTGGTCCACATTCCACAACGGAGAAGGGACACCCAAATACAACATTTGGACCCTAACTGATTTTCTAAGTAAGTAATTTTATTAATAACTAATTATACTATTAAAATATGTGTATGTTCTCTTTAGCTCAAAAATAACTGCAGACTACTTTTTCTGTTAACAGTCGATCTTACCTTATACTTTTTGATCCTGACAAGAAATTTTTTTGGTTATTTTACCAGTTACCATGCTAGAAAATGTAAATTCAATTTTGAGAAAGTTTTAAAACCAATGATTTTTGTACAAATTATAACATAATATTATACATAATAGGTACATAAACAATGTTTAGTTATTTTTCACTGTATCATAATATTATCTTCAATTATTTAGGAATTACACTTTGCCTCGTATATTGTAGTTATATCACATACAACAGTATTATATAGGTATGCATAAACAGGTACTTAAAAAATATTAAATTAAGTTTATCCGTGCCACCACGTCACCGTTGACTTATTAACAAATGTCCACGCCCCTTCGCGTCTATCGGAAGAGAGTTAATATGTTATAATAATTTTATCAGTGTTCTTAAAGTCTCGTTCTCTTTCACCCGGTCCAGAAACCAATGGAGACTATGTATATAAAAATAACTATTGAACATATAATCATTTAATAGTACTTGTAAGTAGTATCGAAAATATAACAACATGGTATTCTGTCTGTGTGCAATTTTATGTACATTAATAGCGCCTGATGGCAAATACAAAAATAAAATAAATATATATTTTTTAAAAAATTAATACAGTCTAATGTACTGTAAAAACTGATTGTACTGTCCAAGATAATATGCAGTTATCAGCTCACTCCCACACCATTACCTCGTCTTAAGTTGGTTTCACTCAGCCAGTAATTTTTCGAATATAAAAATGAAATCATTGTTTGCACCGTGTGAGCCGAAAATAGAGGATTACAAAGCAAAGGAAATAGTATGTCTATATATATGATGTATCAGATTATAATTTAAAAATCTATGCCATTTATGTGCAATCGTAAAGCGATGCAATGAAACATTACAGCCTTAAATGCGAGTAAGTTAATATAATAATTAATAATATTGCTATTACTGCTTTGAATACAGGTGCAGGCTACACCATCCAGCGAAGCGGCGTCTGAAAGTGCTATAATATATTATTATGTGCTGCCAATGCGATTAAATCCGGTCCAATTAATCTT